AGTAGTGTTTGAATTTTAATTTTTTTCTTCAAATCCAAATCACTTGAAATTTTAGAAGTGTGTTTTTCTCATCAAGCCGCACCTAATAATAATATAAAAATAATAATTCGTGAAAAACAAATTGGCCAAAATACCCCCGAAATACTTCAGGGGTATTTTGGTCAATTTATTTCATGTAAAATACTTTTTTGATATTTTTCGAAGATTCACCTATTTGTGGTGTACACACGCTTCAAATTTCAAGTTATTTGGATTTGCAGAAAAAAATTAAAATTCAAACACTACCGGACATCGTGATCGTCAGATTGGACCAAATTCAATATGGGCCGTTGGGTTCATTTTTTCTTGTGAGTTAGTGGGCTCACCCTAGCATCTTCCTATATATATCAACAGCTGGCCAGCTATAATGAATAGTAGATAGGTGGAATGGGAGCCCTTAGATCTTCATCATGCGGTTCAAAATGTACATCACTATTTTAATTTTAATTTTTTTTGTATAAATCTGATTAATATGAAATTTTGGGTGTGTATACCTATCACTATTATGCACAATATAAAAACAATATTTTCAATAATTTAAAATGACCAAAATATCCCCTTCATTTTTCAGGGGATTTCGGTCATTTTATATTTTGAAAATATTTTTTATATATTTTTTATTTCTGCACCCTATTTTTTAGTACACGTGTCTAAAATTTCATTATGATCCGATTTATAGAAAAAAAATTAAAATTAAAACAGTGATATGCATTCTTAACTGCATGATGAAGATCTGATGGCTCTCATTCCACCATATTACTATTCATTATAGCTGGCCAGCTATTGTTAGCTTTTTCCATATATATATATATATATATATATATATATATATATATACACACACACACATATGCAAACATACATATACCTATATCCATTATCCATATGCACATATTTGTATATAGTCACAATATATTATTAATTTGTCAAACTATTTATGACTGAAAAATCTTAGTGATGAGCTTGTCAGGCTTCGAAAGAGAGTGTTACAAGGCAGATAAATGAGGGCATCACTCAAATTTCTTCATCCATTGGGAGGTCCTCTGCTTTTGCTTTGATCATTGATGGGAAGTCGCTGACCTTTGCACTTGAGGATAACGTAAAGAGCAGGTTTTTGGAACTTGCAATTAGTTGTGCATCTGTTATTTGTTGCCGGTCCTCACCTAAACAGAAAGCTCTCGTAAGTGATTCCACTCTTATGTTGCTGAATTTCTTTGTATTATTGTCTTTTTTTTTCCCCTTATGCAGAATTCTGCCTTCTTTTTTTTATTTTTTTGTTACATTATATGAAGTTATATAAAACACTGGCAGGTTACAAGATTGGTTAAAGAAGGCATAGGAAAGACAACTTTAGCTATTGGGGATGGGGCCAATGATGTGGGTATGCTTCAAGAATCTGATATTGGGGTTGGTATCAGTGGTGTGGAAGGGATGCAGGTCTGTCTCTTAAAATTGTACTCACCCACACAAAGATCCATTCTTCTTCTGCATTTTCTTAGTTCCTTATATTTTTGGGGCAAAATATCGCGGAAGTACCAGGAGCAACCGCGTAGATCATGCAGGTGGTCAGAAACTCAAAGCATTGACCCGGGCCTGTCTATTATATTTTTCTTTGGGTAAATTACCTTTCCATTATCCAAACGATCATTTTGTACCCCTATTGTGGTATTGAAGATACTGGACAACCACAAAAAGGTAAAATGATGAAGGGTAATATTGTCCATTGGGATAGTTGATAGGGTCCAGGTAATGCCTGATAATTCAAGTTTCTGGACCACTTATATGTTCTAATGTCCTGTTCCATTTACTGGCCTAATATTTCTCCTCCTTTCCTTTACCTATCTCTAGTTTGTATTTTCTTCTTTTGTGTTTATATGTCTCCCTTGCATTTTCATTTGCAGGCAGTGATGTCGAGTGACATTGCTATTGCTCAATTTCGATACTTGGAGCGTTTGCTGCTGGTGCATGGACATTGGTGCTACAGACGCATTGCTTCAATGGTATGACTATGATGCCCTTTTGAAAACCTTAAATTTGATGCTCTCAACAACGGCATATATGGGTTTTACGTGAACTTAAATATGCTCTGATCCTTCTTTGCAGGTATGCTACTTTTTTTACAAGAACATTACTTTTGGTTTTACGCTATTCTTGTTTGAGGTGTATGCATCATTTTCTGGCCAAGCTGCTTATAATGACTGGTACATGTCATTTTACAATGTCTTCTTCACTTCACTTCCCGTGCTTGCCATGGGTGTATTTGATCAAGATGTTTCTGCTCGTTTTTGTCTTCGGGTACGTCCCTCTCTGCTTGAAATCCAATGACCTTGGTACTTATACAACTTTTTGTTGTTTATAATTAAAGATAATAAATATTTAAAATATTTATTGTGTTATATTCCTTCATTGAACTTGTGCTGTATTATTGTGCCTTTTCTCTCTTACTCTACAACATTTTTTTGGAGGAGATAGCTCGGTATTGGGTATCAAACTTGGGACTTTATATTATTGCAAACATCAACAAATAACCAGTCAAATCCAATTGCCTTTGAAGGTGGAGAAATTTGGTTAAGGAGAAATCTTCTGAGGATTGCTGGGTTGTGGAGAATCATAGTTATTTAGTTCATAGGGGACCCGACCATCAGATGATTTAATAGACGTTGATGCAGACACTCCAGGACAGGGCAGGAACCCTAGGTGGCCCCTTCCCGTCGTCTATCATTGTCCATCATATCATCAAACAGCCATGACCACAGTGGACAATGTTTTTTGTAGTCCATTGGTCAATAGTTTATTCTCCTTGAATTAATATCTCAAATACGTATGTCACTTAAAAAACTATTGGAGCAAGGTGGTTTAGTGATTGTTATTTTGCATTCAACAAAGTAAGTACAATGTTTGCCTTAAGTGTAACTCTGAAAATTAAAGATAGAGAATTAGGATTCTGCTTCTTTTGCTTTCACATTCTAGCATGTTATTTTAGATTAGTAGCATATGTTGAAACGTGTGTTGGTTCTCTCTCTCTATATATGTATAATATATATATATGTATGTACATATGTTGGATCACTAGAAGTCAGGATGTGGCACCTGCCACTCTGACCATTCCTAGAGTTAGTGATAATTGCTATTTTATTCCATGCAGTTCCCTCTTTTGTACCAAGAAGGCATTCAAAATGCCCTCTTCAGTTGGCGTCGGATAATTACTTGGATGCTTAATGGGGTTTATGGCGCCGTCATCATCTTCTTATTTACTACCCATGCTTTTCAATACCAGGCTTTCCGTGAAGGTGGGCAAGTAGTGGGTATGGAAATCCTTGGAACTATGATGTACACTTCTGTAGTGTGGACTGTGAATTGCCAAATGGCCTTGGCAGTAAGCTACTTCACTTGGATACAACACATGTTTATATGGGGTAGCATTGGTTTGTGGTATCTCTTCCTTTTGGCTTATGGAGCCATGTCCCCAACCATATCAGCCACTGCTTATAAGGTCTTCATAGAAGCATGTGCGCCTGCCCCTTCATATTGGCTGCTTACTTTATTTGTGGTCATCTGCACACTCATCCCTTACTTCACATATGCAACCGTTGCAATGAGATTTTTCCCTATGTATCACCAAATGATTCAGTGGATAAGATTAGAGGGTCACTATAAGGACCCTGAGTACTGCCAAATGGTAAGGTCGAGATCTCTTCGGCCATGTACTGTTGGTTTCACTGCTCGGGCCGAAGAGAAAGCAAAACAAATTAAGGAAAAAGTTCTCCACAAGACGTGATATCTTGGTTGAATGACGGATATTGTTTGCCACTGAGCCCATCACTTGCTTATTGTATCAAATTATTAGGCGGAGCCTAAGAGAGACCCGGATTCTTGCATTTCAAGAAATGCATTTTTGCCTTCGATGGGCTTGTTTATTTCGAGCAGTTGTAAATTTCAGATTCTTTGGTGGAATGAAGCGGGCTCGTGGGGTGACTTGGGCGGTGTTGGGTTTGTCACAATGGGGGTTTTCAGAGACTCTTATGAATGCTCATGGGCCTGCAAGAATCTTGGGCCTCGCGAGAATCTCGGTTTGCCTGCTAACACGGTAGAGAAGTTAAGCTATTCAACGAAGAGTATTTTATTTGTTGCATGAAGAATATATATATACATCTTGGCTCACAACCTTTTTACTAGGTTGAGAGTTTTTGATCAAGTTGGGCAAAATAGTGTCCCAAAAGATGTACAGTATGTTTCAAATCTGCAATAAAATTCTTTTGCAGTTCAAGGCAATCCTACGTTATTTAGGGCATTAGGGCCGTGCTTTTTGAGTGTTGTCACCTACATTTCTAAAATTTGGCGGTGTGATGATTATTCTTCTCATTTTATTTTTATTTTTAGTTTTACTTTCGGCCCGCCTTTTGTTGGTCTTTGATACATTTTTTTTTTTTTCCTGAACACTATGGAGCAAATTGCAATTTGGTTTGACATGCTTTGATCAATTAATGTAATTCGCTTAATCTTTGTACTACATGAAGGTCATTTGCACATCATTTTTTTTTTCCCTACCCATTTTCATTATTAAAGATAAAGAAAACACAGATGAAGCAAATGAACAGGAATAAAGTTTGGTGGTCTAGAATGCCATACTGTAGGATCAGAAAAGGATGTAGCCTTCTTGGCAAGTGTATCTACGATCATGTTGGCCTCATGATAAATGTGGAAAATGGACTACCTATAGTTTGGAAGCTTATGTTGACAGTTGGATGCTACCGTATAGAGGCTCCATGGAGCCCAACTGCCTCAAATGATGTTGACGAACAGGGATGACTCACTTTTGATTTGAAGTGGGAAATGGTCGAGTTGAATGGCCAAGTCAATACCCCCCTTCAAAGCATAGAATTCCGTATAGTTTTTAATCGCAGTACCAAAAGGCTTGGATAGTTGTTAATTGCAATACCAGAAGGTGTGGCAAAAGCAGCAATAAAGGCACTCCCTTCGCATGCTATTCTCGGATTTTGAAAAGAAGCCCTGTCGACATTGAACTTAAAACGTTGAAGGTGTGGAAAAAACGTAAAATGTTGAAGGTGTGGAATAGACTAGGCAATTGGATTAGAGGTTTTAGTTGTTTTTGGCACCACGGGATCTGCAAATTTTCAATTATTACCTTTTTCGATATATTGAATGAATCTGCTAAGTTGCAAACATGATAAGTGATCCTTCTAAGAATTTGCTCTCCCCGTTAAACCTTCATTAGAAAAATTCTATAGTTGAGTTCCTCCCATATAAGTGAAAAAAGAGATATCCAGCTATTAGAAGCCCATCTGTTTTGAATCTAAAAACGATTCAATTTCTCAACATTATCATAATGGATGTGCTTGGAATAAGATGTTTACCGCACCTTTATGCAATCGATTTCTAGAGACCATGTGAGAAAGCACATTGGAACAACAAATACAAAATATTATCATCATTATTGCTACATAAGGGGCATACAGAATCCACTGCGATCCCTCGTTATTGAAGGAAGAATGAGGTAGGAAGTCGTTGATCTAGAGCCAATGAAAAAAATCACTTAGCTCTAAGGTGGTATTTTGAAAACCATATTGCTTTGAAAGAAGGTTGAGAAGTCCCCTTTTGCTCAATGAAATCCCAAGTTGCTCTAACGGATAACAACCCATTTGAGAAATAAATCCATACTAAGCAATCTCTCTGTTGCTGCAACGGGACAACAAAAACATCGACCTCTTTCTATATTTTAATTAGATGACCAAATGTGGGAGTGGGAAAGTTCCAAGTCTTAGGAGAGCCTCCTACATAATCTAATACCGTGGGTTTAGCGAGTAATATAGGTCCTCATAAACATTTGCACCATAAGACTCCCAAATAAACTTTTCTGATAACCATAGGTCTGCCCAGAAATACACTAACCGTCCATCTAACATTGTCCCTTAAGTGAAGTAGCCCTTTTTGAATCTCCTTATAAGCATAAGAGCAACTCCTTTCCTTTGCGTTTCATATGGAAGAATCTATTAAATATGTGTGCTTGAAAAAATGAAAAGATAGTTTGAAGGTGTTAATTAGAGAGAAATTTAGTCTCTCGTTGCTCTCACATCTCCATCTGGTGTTGTCGGTGATGTTTGCCAGAAGTAAAGAGAATGAATGAAGAGAGGTTTAAAAGGATTGCTCGACTCGGTTTTGTTGAGGTTTAGAGAGAAAGTCAGTTCTCGCGTTTCTATTTGGTGTTGTCGATAGTGGTTGTCAGAAGAAAGAGAAGGAAGAGAGAGTGGTTTAAAAAGGTTTGCTCGACTCGGTTTTGTCAAGGTTTAGAGATGTAACTCTTTGTTCCAAAATCTTTTTTATGTAACTTTCATTGTATAGTGTATTTCAGTTTGTTATGCCCGTGGATATAGTTTTTATGGGGTGAACCACATAAATCTTTGTGCCCTTGTGGTATGTGTTTTATGTTTTATTTTTTGTATTTTATTTGCAAAAAATCAACTTGTCGGATTTGGAGCTTCCGCGTACATCAGACACATCTAAAGTTCATTACGCCATTTTAAGTATTGTGAAAGTGAAGGTTATTTTGGTCAAAAAATATGAAAAATGAAAAAAAATGGAAGTGGATCATGTTTAAGAAAATATGTTTTTTTTTTTTGTTTCTAATTAACCGAAAATTAAAATATATTTATGATAATTGTCCTCCATGCACATCTACACATTTGCGAGAGAGGGCTCGATTGGTATGAGCCCAACACAAAATACGATCTTACTGCGGAAAAAGATCTTCCTACACGCATAATAGGATTTCGAACTCTTCGGAACATAAATTCATTCGATCTTGGAGAATGGGTTTCCTCTCAAGTACTTCCATGACTGCATCTTCATAATCAAGAAGAGTCGTTTATCCCAATCGACAAACACCATGGATCTTGAGGATGAGAATGACTGTCCCATCCCATCCTCGTAGTCCAGAGCACGCTCTTGGAGCATGACGATGGAAGGTATTGCATTGGTTCCTTGGGTATCCTCCAAATCAGAATACCTATAGAAGATCAACTATTTAACATTATACGTATATCTCTTTTTTAATTCTGAAACACCCATCAAAAAACACATGATCATAAATTAGATTAGTTCCAAATGGATAAAATGTTAAATAATTCACATCTTATGGATATTTTGATAAATTTCATCTTTTTAATCTTGCTCGAATTTATTGAATATCTAATTCTTCCATTCGGGGTTCCTCCATGGTCACTTTTAGGTGACTTTTCCTCTTCTAATGTATTGGGACATGGTGAGAGGTCTAGGGGTGGCAATGGACCCGGACGTGATTGGTCGAAGGTGTAGTCCCGATTTGGGTCCGGGTATGGGTCAAAAAATTGGACCCATAGAGTCAGATCCGAACACTATTCGAGTCCGGGTCTGAGTCCGATCAGATCTAGGTCCAGGTCGGGGTCAATAACGTTTCCGTCTTAATATATGAAATATAGTTAAACATATAGATATTTTAGTTTTTGGATCGGATCAAGGTCCGGCCCCAACCCAACCCGTTGCCACCGCTACCTATAGCCCCTCAAAACGCCTATTTAAAATTAGGAATTGGGTTTAGGGTTGAATTGTTAGTTACTGACATTTAGTAGCATTGCATATCAAGTTCGAATCCTGAACTACAAAAAATAAAGAATGAAAATGGTTGAAGTTACTCCATGCGGCAAACCCTATCCAATCTTAGAGTGTCTTTTGGACCCTAAATTTTGTTCAAACAAACCTCATTAATCACTTCCCATATCTCCTTAGTGGAGGAAAAAAGCAATGGATCTAAGTATTTTTAAAATGAAATATTATTTCTATTTTTTTAATAACCCACAAATTCTACAATGAATCCTAAATTGAAGTGAAAAATATCCTTAAAAAGAGATTTTTACATGAATGAGCCTATATACAATGTGGTAAGGAAAATTGTTTCATGTGGGCTGGACCGCATTTCTACATATGCAATCTAGAAATTGTAAAGCATCATCTTGAAGATGGATGCCAGTAGGTGTTCCATCTAAAAACAATGAAAACTAATGGTCCATATGTTTTCATACTAGAATTATTATTTCTAGTTTTTAAAATTTATTTATTTATTTATATTCATGATCTCCATGTTAGAGATTACAAAAAATTAAATCTTAAAATCCATCTCAAAAATAGATTTATTAAGAGGCCCACATTCCTACGTATGCGGGCTTGGCCATATAGAAACCGGGTCCATGTGGTAGTGCAAGATTACTGTCTCACCAATTTCCTCTTTTCCTTCTTCAAATAAAGCGTTGGTGTTCTTGTACTTCACATTAATTACTAGTAGTACAAAAAAAACTAATAAGACTTTATTACCATTATTTTATATTATTTAAAATTAATCCATTTTACCTTATAATTTTATATTATAAGTTAAATATAAAATTTATATTATAAGTTACATCAACCAAGTTTGTAAATAATTTATAAATATATGTCTTATTCTTGTAAATATAGCCCCTTTTACCTTAAAAGGGATTCAAAGGTGTAAATGTGATTAAATGGATAAATTCAGTCACTGGTAGCATTCATAGGTAGCATCCAGTCCCCGTATCCTTTATTTTTGTCTTTCATTTCTTGATAAACTCAAGGTTTCAAAAGATATCTTCCACTTTAAACTTATTTTTTAATCTAAACAAATGTGAGAAAGATATGTTATTTCTAAACCCAATCATTTCTCTCTCTTCACTTATATACCCCAAATTTCTTTTTCTCTCTCTCTTCATGCGTCTCTCTCACTCTCTCTCCTTCTGTGTTTCTCTAAACATACATCTCTCTCTCCCCCCGGTAACTTCTCACCTCCATGAGGCTCTTCTCTTTCTCTAGAAGTTTGGGAAGATGGCTTTTAGAAAAGGCATGTTTTTTTAGATTTGTTTGACTTAAAAAAATGTTTAAATTAGCTAAAATGGTAGAAGAAATAAAATCTATAATTTCTATGCCCCAAGATATCTTTTAAAACCTTGAGTTTATTGTGAAATGCAACCTAAAAATAAGAGGCATAGAGATATTTTCCTAAAAATTAAACAAATACATGAGATTTTCGTAAATTTGTTGATTGTGAAATAATATACTATTTAGTTGGCATTAAAGGACTTTTTTTTATAAAAAAAGAGTTATTTTAAGGATTTTTGTTTTTTTGACTCAAGCATGCTATAAAATCATAAGCTAACCTTGTACATAATTTGTAGTATTTAAATCATTTTCTTGGAATATTGGTTTTGGTA